ATGAGATTTAAACTCTCGTACAACAACCAATAGTCCAGTAGGAAATCTATATCCAGCTAAAGAAGTCCCTTCAAAATCCCTGCTCGATAACGAAAAAGTACCGTTGTTTCGAAGCAGTCGTTCATATCTGTGGTTTTTGAATTCGTTTTTAAGTTTTGTAACCCTCTGGAGACAACCGCTAATAACGACCCGGCGTCGCTCTGGCCGTTTGCGTAGTAGTCGGCCCGATTGACCTTTAGATGGAACACGTGATCCTCACGGTGTCGTAGTTTTGCAATCCCGACTTTCTTCGTCACTGAACGGGATTCTGTCATCGGGCAGAGCACATATGATCGCTGCGCTTAACTGCCTTTGTCGTTATATAAATTCTTAATTCCGGAGCCATGATGTCGTCTAACCACGTCACTTCCATGTATAACTCTTACGGGATCGTAGATTCATAGCTTCTGCGTTTCTGACCTTCAACGTGCTGTGTCTAATAATGGCGTCAACCTTCAACGTGTAGCGTTTGGCAATAGCATCTAATGGCGTCTGCCATAATTAGATGCAGCACACTAGGGGATAGACGCAGCACGTTGAATGTTAGAAAAGGAGAGGCCGTGGGGTCCGCAGTCCCGCAAGGGATAAGTAAAGTTTCTGACGTCGCTGATAAGCATAACTTAATCAGTGAAGCGACAAATCTTCGATGCCGAACAATAGTGATTGAGGGTATGGAGAATGATGGATGATTAGAACTCTTGAGAATTTTCTTTATGTGCCAAAAATCATTTTGTTACGCTCAAAATGAATGCCAATCTTTACGTAAAGTATTCTTGTCTTCCGTGAATTCTTCTTTTAGTAACGATGTCTTTTAAGATGCTAATTGATAGATTACTAAACTTGTGATATCAGATCTTTTCTCGAAGCCATTACAATGTCGCCTTTGCAGGTCCATCTCCTTTCGACAGTCGCGGGATCAGCTCAACCACGCATCATCACCACTGACCACATCAATTTCTCCCCATTCCATGCGAAACTCGTCTTCAACAGCAGCAAACTTGCTAACATTATCAGAGTAATTAGGCGTGTCTGGATGCATATCCTTCTCACACCGCTTAATTTGCTTACCATGCTATGCACTTTGCTGGAATAATTTTGTGACATCATTGTACTGCGAGCTACAATTTTTCAATTATAGCTCCTAAATTGTCAAGAAATGGTTTTTTCAAAAATAGAAAAAGACTGAAATTTCCCCTATTGATTAAGAGTACTTGATTTCCCAAAAGCGCCAAACAGATTTCACAATTTGTGTTAGTTCTTTGTGAGTGCATAAGTAGAACTGTGATTAATAATGATACGCCTAAGGTATTACATAGATTACGTGTGTGGAATATGTGCTTGTGTGATAATTTGTTTGAACGATTTTATCCTATTTATTTGAAAATGAGGAAATTGGTAAGAAAGAAATTCCATGTCCTTTTTAGTGGATTTTACCTTTATTCTTTGAATATCTGTTTATTCTCTTCAAAGTCGTTCTTCACTGCTCACGTCTTTATGAGTCGGTTATCACCGATTTTTTAATGAATCAAAGTTTATTCTTAAGCAAAGAAATGTAAAATTGCCGAAATGTCGTCAGTATTTTATACCTTTCGTTTCGAGTGCTTTGTTAAGACCACGCTCCATCTTCAACAAACTCCGTCATTATTATTTTAGCCAAAATGTCATGTGGTCTGTTGAATGGGCTGACTTATAGAGCGCGATACACTTGTTTCGACCTTGACGGTCTCATCAGCCGCTCGGCACCCTCTTCTTTTGCAGTCCTCTCGGGGAGCTCAGTCCCCTATACTAAGAGTAGGCGACGGCGAACATTTTACACTGTATGTCAGGTGAAATTCACTGAATGAAAGTGCTGTACACTCGATTGCTCTTGGCTGGTATCATTAGTATATTATACCTTTCGTTTCCTGACATACAGTGTAAAATGTTCGTCGTCGCTTACTCTTAGTGTAGGGGACTGAGCGCCTTGTGAGGATTGGTCAAAGACGAAGGGTACTGCCCAACTAATGAGACAGTCAACGTCGAAACACGTGTATACGGTCTCTAAAAGTCAGCCCATCTAAAAGACCACATGACTTGTTGACTCGAATAATGATTACGAGATATGTCGTGAGTATTGCTTGAATAAATCTTGTTATTGACAACTCGAAGAGTAAAGCAGTGACTGTTAGAATAAGATATTCAAAAGCGATTTTAGAATCCTAACCAAAAGTTCATCCATTATTCAAGTTCAAGATCTCCACTATTGTTTTGTAATTCTTAGGAATCAACGATTAGGAGATCGAGCGATTTTCTGCGTGTATGCGTTTGAGTGCGTGTGGATGTATGAGTGTGTATGGCTGTGAATGTGTGAGTAAATGTATAAATGTGCGTTGGTTTATTAAGTGCATTTATGTGTGTGTGTTTTTTTTTCACTCATTGTGTTTTTCTTTAACCACTTAGCGCATGACATTTTGGACTCAAAACTATTGAAAGCGCTTTAGTGCGGTGCTGTCATCAACAAGAATACGAACTTTGTCCAAGTTGAGATAGTAATTCTTCTTATTTTAGTTTTGCAACTGTAACTATGAAGAATATTTCTAGAGTTTTAGAATGAATCACTTCAACAGTGATATTGGATGAATCGATGGGTTCTATTATTGAAGGTTGCTTGACCTTACTGGAAATGTGTCAGGCGATGACTATCTTCTTCATCTTTATTGAGCATCTCCGATCATTTCATCCACCACTTGATACCATCATTTTCTATTCAGGTTTCAATATAACACTTTCAATATATTCATTAGTGGCTTGTGAAAAGCCTACTTTTTACCGCTACCGTATAGTAAGTAATTGGCTGACTCTGGTTAGGTTCCAGTGAATCAGTTAAACACTTCACGATTTTCTCATATATATATATATATATATATATATATATTTATATGTATATATATATATGTTTGTATATATGTGTATATGTGTGTATATATGTATATATATGTATATATGTGTATATACATGTATGTATATGTATATATATGTGTATATGTATGTTTTTCGAACTATTAATCTCCTTGTTCCAAGCTTGGCTTAAACTTTCTAACAAACGCATTCTCACAAAAAAAAACAATTTTTCAACCCATGTAGACGACGTGCATTCATTTAGATGCACGTCATTTCTGGGATTTCTCGCTACAGAACAATTTCTTATCATACTTTTTGTGCTTTTCGTTGGCTTGAAAAAAACAATTTCAATGGGTCAACAGTCTTCTAAAAAGGCTTTTTAGTGCGATATAGCGGCGATTTAAGATTTCGTTTCACGCTGGTCACATTTTTCCTCGGTAAGGATTTATGAATGGTTTTTTCATCAACCTAGGGAAAAACACTTGGTAGCTTATTCTTTGACGATTTTTGAAATTGAATTTGTATCTTGAAGAGAATTTCACTGAGCGCTATAAGTGCGAAAAGATGATTATGTTTGACTTACGAAGTGACAGCCCATAGCTTGGAGGCCATGGTTGACATATTTGGCAATACAGGTTGAAATTAGAAGGTGATATCTACAAAACGATAGGACAAAATTTTTTCTGTAATCCCAAATCGTTGAAATTAGAAGGTTTTCTGAAATGGAAAAAAATTTTCAATTAAATAACGCGCTCTCGAATCGCGCTGCGCCAAGCGATTTCAGTTGTAGCCCCGGAAGGGTGCGATTCATTATTTATTAAGAAATGGTTCTTCTTGTTGCAACATTTTCGGATTTCCTTTGATATAATAATACTCCACGATTTTTTCTACACAATGTTTTTGGTACGTATATCTCCAGGTGCGAAGCCTGCTATTTTTTCGCTGTATATGAACCGTTGCAAAAACGGAATTCAGTTTTAGAGTTGCCCTTTTGAAGTTATCGATTATGTACCAAAACTTTTTGGAAATCCGTCTATACACTGCAGCTGTGTAATGCATGCGCGCCGAAGGTGAAATCTGGTATTACTTTGTCTGCTACAGCACATTAAGGGCGTTTTTACGACACAATTCACCGTTGAAAATGTTGAGACTGTAGCGACTGAGTGCCAAAAGTTTGCGGAAGAGCAAAGAAAACTCCGTCCCCAAAAGGGTTAAGGAACTGTTACGCAACAGGGATAATCGTAAAAACTAAGGATTCGTTAAAAATAAGATATAGTCACTCCTAATCAATCGTTTTTGTGTACAAAATGTGTGAGAAATGACGGAAAACTCAAAAGCAGAATACTTCGACCTCTTGAAAGGTGGGATTTGCATAAAGGTGGAACAAAACATTCATATATGATTTGTAAAATACAATAATTCTTTCAAAAAATTCACAATATGTATTATGAAGGCATGCCAGCCTTGAGTTTGAAGGAAACACAAAGGGAAATTCGGTTGAACATGAGTCATGTACATATGGAAGCTAAAAGACTATATATATATATATATATGTATATATCGCATTTCGTCCGTAATAGCACTATCATAAGGATAGCAACTGATTGAGCAAGATTCGTTTAGAATTTGGACGTTTTTGAGTTAGATATTTCACGAATTACGACATTGTCAAATTATAATCCAAATTTCTATTGCCTTTAATGGCTTTTTTGCAGTGTTATGATGTTTTCATATATTTCTAAGAGAAGTGAATGGTGAGCAAAAACATGGCCTCAGGCGGGAATCGAACCCGCGATTCATCCTACCCGAGGACGCGTGCTCTATCACTACACCACCGAGGCACATTTGCCCGACCACTCATTCTTCAATATCTCTATGAAGCATCATAACACTGCGAAAAAGCCAGTAAAAGCAAAAGAATTTTGTTATATTTATTATCATCAGTATCATATTATTACTTATCACATTGGCTGTCAACTCAACTGGGTTTATAAAGCGAAATCGCACACCTGACCAAACCTGTAAAAGGTTGGTGGATGACAGCTAACATAGAGATGTTGAAGAATGAGTGGTCGCCTTGTGCCTCGGTGGTGTAGTGGTAGACCACGCATTCTCGGGTAGGAAGAAAATACGGGTTCGATTCCCGCCCTAGGCCATGTTTTTGCTCACCACTCAATTCTCTTAGGAATATATTGTCAAGTTAGTTTGGTAGTATTCCGCTACCACAAATATCAACCCTTCTGGGGACATAAGCTTTTCCTCAGACTCTCAGACTGATTCGATAGCTTAAGTCTCAAAAACTCCAAAATCGTACTCCAGTTCTCAAATGACCTTTTCAATGCGCTGCAGCGACAAAATCAAATCAAGTTTCACATTCAGCGTTTTAGGATATATCGAATGCTTTTATATTGAAAATTTTGGTATTCTGCTTGATAATTGTAAACAATTTTTTTTAATGCTGAGTAGGCCTGGAGAAGGCTACCTTCCGTCTTCGGCGCTTGTTATCGCACCTTTCACGAACTGCGCTGCTCTCAGTGAGTCAATGCCACCTCAAAGGGACGCGAATTTGTTATCTATTTAAAAATTTGTTTTCCATTTCGTAGTAACTTAGCATTTCCGTACTAGGATTGTAGAGGAGACTTTGTTTTGTCACTTTCGGTGCTTAGGTTTATTTTTACACTGTATTTCTAAACAAACCTGCTACTAATCCTAAGCCTAGGAGTGTTGCAACGTTACCTTCTTCGCAATCATCCATCGCTCTATGAAGACCTTTCCATAAACCAAATTCGAGTTCATAGTCAGCTGAATCTAAGCCATCGAGGTCACAAACCTATTCACACCAGCCGTTCAACACGCACCCTAGCCTAGAAAAAATTGAGCGCTGAGTTTTTTAAACTCAATTTTATTTTTGTTGCTATAAGCACACTGAAGAGGCCTTCTTAGAAATAAAAGATAGTTCTGAAGCTTCCGAGATTCAAGCTGTTAAATGAATACTTGAAGTCGGAGGAAGGAGCGGGAAAAGCCTTATTCTTGAGGGGTTGAAAATGGGGCTGGGGTTACGAAGTTGTAACGATATTTCCTTCCTTTACTAAACTATATATAAAATTTCCGTGTTTTTTCGTTATTTTTATGCATATTTTTGTTTTTTTTTACATGTTTAGAACAATCGCAATCCTTCAAATGGATTTACAAGCCAGCTGGTTTGCGTGGGAGAGTAGCATAGTAATTATGACGCAATGTATCAACAAGCGCGACGCTGATTTGATCCACCGAAACCCTTTTGCAGTCAATCAACTGATTGCCTAGACTTAGCTCATCTGCCTTGAAGATTGCTTGAGAAATCGCCTCGACCAGTCAGCTATATACGGCATTCATAGAAAAGGTGAAATCCCCCAGCAGCAGCCGAGGCAGCATGTAAAATATTAGAAGATTTTTGTGAAGTATGAATGCAATGAAATAATTCACATGTAAGAAGAGCTGGGACTCGTAAGCAGCTGTAACGGGACGTGTAGAAATGAAAGTAAAACAATTTGGTTATAAATTGACTTCAAACTTCAGAAATGAGGGTAAACCTTACACAGAAAAACTTATCAGCAACCCAGTCGGAGTAAGCAACTGGAAGAAAACGATTTTCAAAAGTTTACTGCAATTGGGGTGTTGTGGCTGAGTGATTGTGATACTCGTTGCGGCGCGCATGGAGCCGAACCTCACCCTCCCCAGCTTTCTTCGGCAATTAGCAACAACGTCCTGTGGAACGACACAGGCATGCTATCTTCGACTATGCAAAGACACTCAACCAGTATTCTGCGCCGTTCAAGAAGAAGACGAGAAACTTGTTGGACGCTAGAAGTGCTGGGAACCACACACTGGAAAAAAAACCTTGATGACGGATCAAATAAAGCGCGAACATACAACATATATGTAAATACAACCAAATTTTCTGATAATAAAGAAGGGAAAGGAGTTTGTCATTTTCAGATATCATCGAATCCTCGGAAACTTAATCGGGCAGGAGAATACATTCGGTTTTTTTGATCTAAAAGCATCTTAGCACTGCGTGTTTGCCACCTTATCGTTGTAGGAAGCGCTGCCGAGTAGTCATTATTATCCTGAATGATTACGTTAACAGGAGCTTGTCATAAAAACTTTCTGAGCATGAAAAGGTGGTGTTTAAAGTTGTGCTGAATGTCGTCAAATGGTGATATCCATTTTTCATTCACTGTCAGAGCTATCGCGGATACGAGGGTGATCGACATTTTTATATAGGATGCCCCGCTAAGAGTAAACCTATTAATTACCGCTACCATCGCTACGAATAGAATAAGAAAAAGTCTTTATCAGAAGTCCACAATGGCCGGTGAGTCCTAACGATAATGAGAGTTTGAACGCCCCCATACTAGCGTTACAATCGCAAGTCATCGATGACGAAAAATCGCATAGGGAATCTCTAAACTTTCTCGGACTCTCAATCCTACTGAAAACGGATCATTCATTAATTCAGAGTGGAACAATTGGAAACGTTTGATTCCGAGAAAAATTACTTTTTGGTCATTCAAAACTAAGTTTTTTTTAACATTGCAGATGTCCTTTCGCTAATTCATCTATTGTACTTTCCTGGATTACAAGAACGATTTGGCATATAGATGCCACTACTAGCATCAATCATAAATAGTTTGAGGTTGATAACCACTCGTGTTTTTCTCAATATTCAATCATTATCATTCTCCACCTTACGATCGTCTCTGATGTCATGATTTCGGTTTTTTTTTTCCGAAAGCTGTTTTTCACAACGTGCAACTGAACTCGTTCCAACATTGTTTCGAACTGAAAAGACCTTTCGATTATTTCCATCAAAAGATTTTTTCATCGCAAAATCTTTCGACGTCTCAAAAATACTTTTGGCATCGTGTCACAAACGTCTGTGATCCAGCTGTGATCAATTCGCTCACTGTGAATCTTCTTAACAGTATTTTTATCGAAGTTTTATTACAACCCTTTTTCGAATCTTTGTTTACTATTATCTTCATGTATATTCCATAGATTTCAAGTTCACTGTATTGTTTATTTGGAAGATTATTAACGAAAATGATTCCAATGATTTATTCAATAACTACTTAAGGAATTAAGCGATGTTAGTGGAGCGCAGTGGTTAGAGGGGCCTTCGAATACCATATGGTCATCGCTTGAATTACGTGGCCTAGGTTGCCTCACTCCTCTAAAATTTGTCGTTCTTATCGAGTGTCAAATCTCCCAGTTGCTCCTGGTCCCTCTACGACTTTTCTATGGATCCTGCTTTTTTCTCTAGAATCATCGAGTCTGTACATCGATTGTCGTCAAAATGGGAATCAGTCAGACTTAAACCGCTTTTCTGCGTGCACCGGTTGTCGTCAAGACGCATTATGAATCCGCCGGCCCACCTCTTGGCTTACAACACAACTTTGTTGATTGTGACTATACTTACCAATAGAGTTACAGGAATAGTCCTGGAAAGTTAGAGTTACAGGAATAGTCCTGGAAAGTTTTTGAACAATGATAGCTTGTTAAGCCAGTTAGTAGTAACAATTCTCTCGACATTGACTGATTTATTCTACTTCACTCCGTAATATGTTGACTTCACTGTCTTGTCAGTTTTTTCTATCTGCTAATAGAATTCTCAAATAATCAATACATCTCCGTTTTGTGCCTTGTCAGAAGTTCACGTTAGACTAACTTCGAAAATTTAGTCCTACTACTTATTGACGTAATTCATGACAAAATTGTGCTCTTGTCAACTAATAACTTCACTTTCATTCTGTTACCCTTTTCTTTTCTTTATGTTTTTTTGCTGTTACACTAATGCTCTACATCATAAATGTGCGGAAGAATCGTGAAGGAACCTCCGACGCTATTTGAATTAACTCTCTTTGACTCCAGTCATGGGATGTTCATCGAAGCAATTTTCTCTTTCCTACTTTTTCTTGAAAACTCCCTTGATTGAATCTGAAAGCTCTCTTGATTCTAGTGATTATATGTGAGACTACAAATTTCACAAATAGGTAAAGAGTAACTTCAATGTAAAGCGCTTATGAGCTGGATTATTCTTAATTCGGCCACTACCTCTATGCCTGACCATTTGACTGACCAATGGTCTCCATTATGATTAGCTAGTCGACGAATCATAATATCTGCCTAAACTTTGTTTTTGTAATTTCTTCTACGAGCATAAGTTATTGATACATTTATCACTGTTTTTTTAATCCAAGATAGGCTATCTAAATAACTATGTAGGATGCGTACATTACAATAAACCAAACCAATCTTCTCAAGTTTAGAACTAGACCTATTACCCCACGCTAACCAGTTCTTGAAATGTTTGGTGGTTGTTGACTGAAAAGAAACTTGTTCATGAATGCTACTGAAAGACGACTTCACTACAAAGAAGCTTAAATTCTATCACGGATTTTTAGATCGAACATAGAGAGAGAAATTCGAAACATGACATCCTTAAGAAGTAAAACAGAAAGGAATTTTGGAAGAAGATAAAGGAATCAAGAAGCCACTGAAAGAATGTTGACCACTGAAATTGTTGACTTCTGTTAGTATTCCTCTCAAGCTTAGATCTTACACAGTCCTCCACCATATACCATGCCGATATCAAAGCTTTTGTTCGATACATTCCTAGAATCCTTCCACAAAAAAATTCGTGTCTTTGTGATTAGGTTCAAGTGTTGTTTGCGAATTTTTGATTCCCGACATGTCGTACATTGCTGGTAGAGTATTCTTGCTGGAATCCTAAGATAGCCATGCTAGACGCTCCCAGATCCCTGCTACAGGTAGGGGCTAACTTTCACGGACTAGAGAAAGCAAGCTTATTATAGTTTCTCGCGACCCTGAAGGGATCGCCGGCTTCGCTAACTAGGCATCGAGTCGAGCTATGCCCTCATAGTGAACGAACGGTACCTTTCTATTAACACTGTGCTCGTAAAGACATAGATTTCAAAGTGTAGGGACAAAAAAGTTTATTTGTTTTCAATACATGATTTTTTGTGACCTTTTCGAACATTCAGTTCAGGAAACTGGAAAAGGGACCTTTTTTGAGATTTTCTCACAGTTTGTAACAGTATTCCAATAGAATCACCTGTATCACCTGCCGTCCCGTTGATCGTAGAGTGATTC